CAGAAAAATGAAAAGGAAAATGATAAACTAGTGGATAATTCTAACAGTATTAATTGAATTTTTAAATCTGGACAGAAATATAAATTTGGGTAATAATAACATATGATTTACGAAGGAATGTCAAAGTTAAAACATTCTGTGGCCCATAGTATTATGGTAAAGACGGGTTAAAAAATAACTGGCGAACTTAGAACTTAAATATACACACTAGAAAATGCACCATAACCACTGAAAGGAAAGATGACATGCAGGCCTAGCTTGGTGGGGCAGTTGGTTGCAAACCGAACTGCAGGGCTGGAAGCCACAGAACCAACCAAGGTTCAGATCTCCAGTTGGCTTGAAAATATGCCAAGTACATGAGCATGTGCCAAAGACCCTGATGAGCTGGAGGGTCTGAAAAAGGGGTCCATGACATGAAGAGACTCTGTTGAGGGTGCTTCTCTCTCTCTCCTAACCTACACAAATAAAATAAATTTTAAAAATGCATAACTTTTAAACTAATCGAGAGGAAAAGAAGTGGAAATAAACAAGAAAAACAAAAATTAATGAATCTGGAAATGGGCAAGAAAGGAGAAAAAGGAAGAAAAAACCCAGAGAAAAACAAATAGAAAGCAAAAATAACACGGTAAGAACAAATCCAGGTTTGTCATCACTATCAATTTAAATGGATTAAGCACATTAGTTAAAAGCAAAGACAGTTTAAAATAAAGAATTAAAAAAAAAATCCAGCTATGCATCATCAATAGAGACTTAAAAAACAAGGAAGATTGATGAAAACAGAAAAATACCAAGTGAAAATTAAAAGTTACTACAGCTTTATTACTGTTATATAAGACAAGCTTTCAGGTAAAAAAAAAAAAAAAAGAAAGAAAGAAAAGAAAAGATAAGATAAGATAAGATACCAGAAACAGAGAAACACCTAAATCATTCAATTCACTGAAAAGATAAAATATGAATATAAGTGTGGATATATTTAACAACAACTAAATAATACAGGGTGTCTCTATCAATCATTTCTACACCACTTGGTATTGTGTTGGACATCCTAGCTGGTTCAAAGAACACAAAAGATAAATGAAGTCTATACAAATTTAAAAGGAAGAAATAAAACTGTAATTATTCATAAATGAAATTAATGTGCAAAGAAAAACACCAAACAAATCTATGGAAACTACCAGAATTAATAAGCTTAGTAAGAGTGCCAGATGTAAAATCAATATACAGTAATCAACTAAATATCTCTATATTAACAAGGAAATAAAACTGTTTTAAAAAATATCATTTATAGCCACTTTAAAAAAATAGATGACTCTAACAAAAGTATGTAAGATCTTATACAATATTATCAATAGATGCTGAAGGTCTAAATAAATGGGCATATTATAAAAAAAGACTCAATACAAAAATTCTAAAATTGATGTGGAAGAACAAAGAAAAAAAGAACAGCAAGATACTCTTTTTTTTTTTTTTTTGAGTGGTTTTTGCTATAGGGCGCATGCGCTCACCAGAAAGACACAGAGAGACAGAGAGATAGAAAGTGAGAAATCACCCCTCCGGGAGAATGGCCACCCCACAATCCCTTCTCCATTCTCCTCTCAGGATCCTGGGCACACACACACACGTGCCTGGCGTGAGTTTAAGCCACCAGGTCCGGGACTCAAACCATGATCGACTACATGGGAGTTCAGTGACATAGCCATTACGCCAACTGCTGGTCCCATATTCTTGAAGAAAAAGTAGCAACTGGAGAGAATTGGCAGAGGGCCTGCAGGACTGCAAAGAGGGCCCTGAAACACATCCACAGATATGTGGTCATGTGATATAAGACAGATGACATTTTATTAAGTTCTTTTAAACTATAGAAAAACACCATGCAAATACACTGGAATTATGGTATATCATACATGATAAAAATTAAGTTGTTAACTAAGTGGCTATATGTGCTACTACCATTTACCAGATGTTCTTCTGTCACTTAGATATGATACCTTATATGAAAACAATTTTTTAGAGAGAGCTTTTTTTGCTATAGGGCACATGCACTCTCCAGAAAGAGAGACAGAGAGAGAAAGTGAGAACTCACCCACTATGGGGATAGTCATGCCACAGTTCCTTCCCCTCCATTCCCCTCTCAGGATTTAGGGCATTCACAAACACACGTCTGGCATGAATTTCAATAGGCCAGGTCTGGGACTCAAACCACAGTTAGCCATGTGGGAGTCCAGTACCTTAATCACTAAATCACCTGCTGACCGCCCCAAAAATATTTAAGGAAATTATTGGAATATCATTTTTGTTTGTTTCTAGTTGATAGTATGTAAACTTGTAATGTTATTTTTTAAAATTCCATAATAAAAGTAGTTTTTGACCAGAAAAAGGGAACAATGTATTGACAACTTTTAAAAACATACAAATAATTATCCCTTAGAGAAGATTTGTCATTTGTCTTTTTCCCTTACCTTGCAATGACTGAACTAAGGTGCAGAAGAATTTCATGGATTTAAGTAATCTTCTAATTTAAAACTGTTTGAAACTTACTGGATCACAATACGCTAAAAGTGATTCACTAATTTTGAAGAGATAATTTACAACACACTGACACAAAATCCTGAGCAACAGAAAACAAGATGGGAAGATAAAGGAATTGCCCGTATTCTACTTACTGTTTGCTTATAGGACTAACACCTTTGAATAGGGATAGGATATAAAACATAGAACCAGGCATTGTTAAGGCACTCATTAATGTATCAAATATTGACTTAAAGTTCACTTGGGAAAACAAAGCATAAATACATAGGCAGTTAAATAATGTAAGAATTAAGATAGTGTCTCAATGCAGTACAATATCAAGGTGTGGACAGAGGCTGAGGGAGAACAATTTTATGTAAATTTCCAGCTGAATTCTCATAACTTTGATCATAACTGAAAACCAGTACTTTCCATGGGTACCAGCTATTCCTGGACATTTTCATTCTACAGTGACAGGTTGTTTTTTTCTCCAACTCCTCACATTAAGTGGGAACATACATCATTATTCTCCTGCTTCCATGAACCATCTTCAAAATGAAGTCCACGTTATTCTTTATTCTGCCCTTCTGCATCACTAAATAGGCTGACCCCAGGACAGGCATATAGGTTGCTTCAGGATTCTAGTAACTATTCCATAACCATCCTCTCTATCACATTCTGTACCATCTTCCAATAATACTGATATTGACACTTTCAATACTTTGGACTCAAAAGACTTCAACTTCTAAACCTTGATGAATGTCACCTCCATTTTACCTCAGGAACTGGTCACACACTAGGATCAACGGATCACTCTCAGCTTTCTCTCCCCCTAAATTCTGAAAATCTAGACATCTCTTCTTTGACCAAAGCTTTTTTTTTTTTTTTCCAGGTTTTTGCCATAGGGTGTGTGTACTCATTGAAAAGAGGCAGAGAGAAAGAGAAGGTGAGAAATCACTTTTGAGGATGGCCCCAAATCAATCCCTTCTCTTCCATTCTTCTGGATTTTGGGGCACACACGCACATGTGCCTGACATATTTTCAAGCCAGCAGGTCCAGGATTTAGACTTTGGAGTCAGCTATGTGAGATTCAGTTAACTTCCACACCACCCACTGGCTCTGACCAAAGCTTTCAATTTTCTTCTCTTGGTCTTATTCATTATGGGATGCAGAGCTTTCTCACCATAATCTGTAGTTCTTCATGTCCAATTCTATTCCTTAACCCAGTGGGTTTCCAATATCAATCAATTCTATAGATTTCTGGATTTTTCTTTCTGCTATACCCACTTTGCTAAATTTCATACTTAGTAATTTCCTCTCTTGCTTCTAAGTGACTAATTCTAATGCATTTTCTCCTTCCTTCCTTCCTTTCTTCCTTCCTTCCTTTCTTTCTTTCTTTCTTTCTTTCTTTCTTTCTTTCTTTCTTTCTTTCTTTCTTTCTTTCTTTCTTTCTTCTTTCTTCTTTTTGAGAGAGAGAAAGAAAGACATAGAGGCACCCCTGATAGGGTCTCACCATTCTACAGTTCTCCTCCCAGAATTCCAGCCTGCCAGGACTGCAAGCACACTTAGCATGTTCAGGTCAACCCAAGATCTGAACATGGGGCCTCCTATATGGCTCCAGTATCATCCAGTGATGCCTATATCCTGCACCACTGCAGCTGAGTCTCTATTTTCATCATTTCCAGATATGGTAGTTATGGAAAGTTAATGAGTTGATATAATATATAAAAGCATATAATATATAGTAATATAAAATACTAAGAACATGGCCTGACTCATAATGACCATCCATTAAATTATGGCTATTTTCATTGTTATTCATATGTCACTTCCCCAATTGGTATTTCCAACATCATTTGTAATAACAACAACAAAAATCACTAAATTTGGAGAAACATTATGTAAAGTAAGAACATTTTAGCCACTTCCCTTGGAAGGTATCCCAGACCACTGAAGAAATTTCTTCAGACTTATAACAAAGTTAATAACTGATTAAAAAAAAAACCCTAAAACATACAAAATAAACCATTTTTCATACTTTATGGTAATAACATGTTGAGAGAAATATTTGAAGATAAAAATATAAATGCTTGCTAATTTCTTATAACCATTAATTATCTAAATAACCTTTAAGAATAAATCTGAGTTAATTTAACAGATGGGAAATGCTTAGTGTATATCAACTAAATCTTTATCACTGTATTTATTAAAGATAGTTATCACATTGAAATCAGATGTAGGATAACTGTGACTAAGTAGTAAATGGTCTTCTCTTTTGGATGGTAAATGAATTAAGATTTGAAACAATGCTTTCTGATTTAAAGGAGCTTTTCCTTACAGTATTATATTGTGAACATGTGTCAACAGGAGATAATCTATGATTCTGTTAAGCCTGAAGGCACCTTAGCTATATAATTCTCCTAATAAGCTCTCTTGGCTTTAAATCAACTTGTGTTTTCAAGTACTAAAAAGAAAATACTATGGGTACTTACCTTGAGCTTATGTTCTTTTCTGTTTACAATCACAGCTGTGATTTGCTGGTCCATAAAAATCAGAATGGTGACCAACAAAGCAGGGATAGCAGCAGCAAGGTATACCCACCAGGGATTTCCTCCAAATGGTGGAACAAACCAACCTCGGTTTGGACTTGTTGGCTTGAAAAAGAGAAAGATCACTTTTTTCAGAACAATCTCAGGTTACTATATACTACTTAATGAAAAATCAATGGCAGAGACACACTTCTTTTAAGAGAGCGAACATATTGGATAATAAAAACATTCATGGGCTGCAAAAAGAAAATTATTCACCAAAAACCACCCAATGGACATTATTTTTGAGACAATATTTTAAAAGAAGGAGAAAAATAATATGAGCTCTTGGAAAAATAGGGAATGCCATTTTGTGTATTTGGGATGATTTAAGATAAGGACTCTAGATGGAAGAAAGTGATTTAAGTTTAAAGAACAGCCAGAAGAGAACCTCAAAGGTAATATTTAGTAAAAAAGAAAAATGACCAATATGAATTTTGTTCATGAGTTTTAGCAATTATATTGAGGTTGTTTCTACTACTGTCAGATTACAATACCTCTACAATATAATATCTATATATATATGCTACAAATATTTTTATGTTACAGTTGAATTAATTTAAATATACTAGTCTCTTATTTTACATTTAAAAATCTTCCAGACTAACTGTTTAAATGCAGAGAAATGTCACAAAATTGTGGAGAAAATGGCCATTTGTCTAGCTTTCATTCTATTTTCTATCAGTAGATCACATATGTATACTACCAACAACTTTTTTCCTAGGCTTTTTTCTTAAACAGTGTAAATAAAAATACTGAAATGGAACACTATTCATTCTTCCACCAGATTTGCTATCAAGAAAATCTGATTCTCTCCTGAGATATTCTACCTTCTGTCTCACTTTGCTCATAGCTCATTGCTGAATCTATAGACATTTTACTACATTTACTCGGTTGTGAGCTAGTAAGAAAGGAACTTGTGTCTTGCTTATGAATTAATTTTGAACCCCCAGGATAGAACCTGACTCAAAGCAAATGTTTAATAAAAACTGAAATTAACTAATGATGAAATTAATGAAAATTTACCTTTGCTAATAAATATGTGATGGCAAAGAAAATCCAAAAAAATTTTTTGTAACATATATATCCCTTCCTCATTAAGTAGTTATTAAACTAAAACCACAGTTAGTTTACTATTTCTTAGCATATACTCGTATATGATCTCAGTAGTGGAGAGAGGATTATACTAGAAAATAGTTGAAAGGCCTATAATTGAAAGTTAGTTACAGATATATTTAAAAATGAATGAAATACAAATTTTATCCATTATGTCCCTACAAGTCTATAACAATAGACTCATAAAATAAATAATTCTTATACAGTCTTATAATAATTGGAATGAACATTGTATATAAATAAGTATGGCAGGGGGGTTTTCAGAAGAAAACAGCATTGAATTAGGAGTCTGTAGACTTTGATTCAAACGTCCCACCCTGATACTACTAGTTCCTTAATTTGAGAAATTTCTATGAGCCTTAATCTCAGGTTTACAAAACTAGGATGATGATAGCTACAGTGTACACTTCCCAGAATTATTATATGAATCTAGGTGATAAAATGTTTGAAAATACTTCAGATATTGTTAAATATTCTAAAACTATAAGGCAGAATTTGTAATGTTCTTATAACTTATTTTTAAATAATTATCAATAAAATGTGAACCTTGCATTTTGTGAACCTAGTCTTGGCATTTTTATTTTAGTGAGCAAATTTGACTAACTGTCTATATAAACCTAACAAAAGACTACTTTTGAAAAAAAGAAATAGATAGATACCACACTAACCTAAAGACACAATAAACTAGAATAGAGAAAAAGGGGCAAAAAAGAAAAGGTTTAAAAAAAAAAAAAAAGCCAGAGAGCTCCAGGATTGACCAAAAGGTAAAAAATCACCTACCTTGAATTCACTTGGCACAATTAGTTTTGGAGTGTCCACACCTACTAGGGCATCTATTACACAAAAGATGAGAATGGACAAGATAATGGCAAAGTCACTGATCAGTTTTCTTGCCTGAAAAAGTAAAAAAAAAAAAGATACCAGGAACCATTTAGTACTGAATACATATATTTACCTAATATAAAGTATTTTATATTTACTAATGTTTATAGTTAACAGCTTCATCAGCAAATTGAAGGAGGTGTCACTCTGCAAAGAGATTATTTTAAAATTGTGTTTGCATTAGTTTATCACCTTCATGGCCAGACATAATCTGATTCCACAGAATAGGTCATATTGTGTGTGTGTGTGTGTGTGTGTGTGTGTGTGTGTATAGACAGGGAAGGCAATCGAACAAAATATATCCCCAATATATTCTACTAACATTTGTCCTGAATGAAGGATGGGTACCTAGATGAGAATAAAATCTAACTACATAGTCCCAGACCCAGTGGCTTAAACTCATGCTAGGCACATGTGCATATATACCCAAGATCGCAAGAGGAGAATGGAGAAGGGATTATGGCGTGGCCATCCCCCAGGGGAGTGATTTCTTGCCTTTTGTCTCTCTGTCTCTCTCTTTCTGGCAAACACACATCCCCCAAAGCAAAAACCTCTGGAAAAAAAAACTAACTACATATTATAAAATTCTGCACAAAGACATAGAACTCTCTTCATTATTTAGGAGGTAACATTGTGAGTACAGAGCAAGACAAATCTTGCAAAGTAACCAGAAAACGTCAAGGTTCTAGCAGGAAAGAGATTACAAATTCCAGTCCACTATGTGAGTTAAATACCAAGACCTCAGTGTAAAAACCTCAGAGATAAAAGCTAGGAAATGTGATAGCTGCACTAGCTTTGGAAAAAAAAAAAAAAAAATCTTCAGGCCAGGCTAGCGCCTGAAATTTCTTATATATGGTTTATATATGGTGTATCTCTTCTTCACCACTTCTAAAATGTAGTTGCCTAATTTGATTATTTCCAAATTTCTAAGTTCCTGCCTCTGGTCAGGTCAAGATCTGTGTTTTATGGTATACAGCACTAAACCCAGAATTTCCCCATGAAATAGGTTCAGAATGCCACTTACAAGTTGAGAAGGACAGTACAGGGCTATTTGGTTGCTTTGCAGTTGCTCTGTATTCTCTCAAGCCATTGAGAAAGGTCCAAAAGGCTAACAGAGCAGATACCCGAGTTTCCCATAAGGCAAGTATACATAATTGTGTATAATTTGATCATTTGACCAGAATTTATTTATTTCCTAATACTTTGCTTGGTGCTAAAAATACCACAGTGCATAAAATAGACACAATCCAAAGCTCACAGTCAAGTTATATACAGGGAATCCTGCTCCTACATCAATTCAGGGTTGATTCAGAAGTAGCAGATTATCTCAGGGTGGGCAATCAGCTTCTAATGCTATTAGATGAAAGAAAGGAGATCAATGATGGGCAGAAGCATAGTTCTCAGGACAGAGGGTTTCTTGGGACAGCAGTGGAACTACTACACCAGATATCCAACAGAAACTGAAGGGAGGAAGAGAGGTTACTTGGTAGTATAGGTATCCAAAGGACATAGTGCTCAATTCTTGACCAATACCACATATCTGGGGCTTTGTGTATTAGTTAATAGCAGAAACAAAGGTGGTCCTTCTGGCAATAAGTTCCTTTTCCTTCTAGAGGCTTAGATTCTGCTAGGATTGGCTTACTTGAGAAGTACCCTCCAAAAAAAAAAAAAACAGAAGATGGGAACCAGCAGTTAGCGTAATGGCTATGTCGCTGGACTCCCACGTAGTCAACCGCGGTTCGCGTCCCGGACCCGGTGGCTTAAAACTCACGCCGGGCGCGTGTGCGTGCGTGCCCATGATCCCAAGAGGAGAATGGAGGAGAAGGGATTGCGGCGTGACCATCCCCCCTGGGGGGGTGATTTCTCGCTTTCTGTCTCTATGTCTCTCTCTGTCTGTCTGGCGAGCGCACGTGCCCTATAGTGAAAATCTCTCTCAAAAAACAAACAAACAAACAAACAAACAAAAAAAAAAACAGAAGGCCAATCTAGGCCTTTTTAGGAGTGAGTTAACACTGAATACACACAATAAATTTAAGGACAAATAGCAGAAATCAGTTTGAAGAAGAAATATGGTACAGTTGTTAGGAAGATGGTTACTATTGTCCTATTACCTGAGTTAGAAGTCCAGTACCATTATTTATTATCTATAAACACTTATCCTTTCTTAGCTTCAATTTGATTACTTGCAAAGCATCGTCAAAATAATCTCTAAAACTTCATTAACTATAAGAATCAAATAATATAAGCCATGAAAATGATTAACATAATGCCTGGAATGTAATAAACTCTCCTAACTAACATTAACTGTTAGTATGTCAAGTTCCAGAAAGCCTCTTGGCTAAAGAGATGACCAGATAACTGGATGATCACTGTCAACAGGTCTTTGAAAGGAACCTTCAATTCCAAGGAAGAAGAAATAAAAAACCCAATAATGATATGGAACTGCCATTCAGAAATAATTTTGCTTGGAAGTATCTAGAAGCCCTGCAGGAAAAAGATGTTTTCCAGGGGTGGAGAGTAGAAAAACACTCTCATTTTGTAAGTTTTGTGCAAGTGGTGTTGATACTGGCAGTTCTGAATGGTCTGACAAAGACGATGATGTGAAGTGGTGCTGGGAATGTCTTAAGATGTTAAACCATTCCCTCTGGTCCAGTAGGTCATAAATCACTGGAGGACCATAGGCTATTTCAAAGCCAAAAAAGAAGTTAATTCTTATTTATCATTCTCCCAATTGTTAAGAAAATCCAACTTGATGACAACTCAAAATCCTGTAAGTTGTTCAATAGAAGAGAATCATTATTAAAAGCAGTTTTCCTCCTTTAAAAACAATAACGAAACAAGGGAAGAAAAAGAATGTGTTGGAAATGAAATCGGTCTGGAATTTCTTGGTAAAATTTTCACCAGACTTAGAACAACTAGAGAACAGACCTGCTTAACTGGAATCACTGCCAGGCATTTAAGGAAATGCTATTTTTTACTTGGGGGGAGGAGGTATTCTCAGCCTTTCATAAATCAAACACCCTGAAAAAATCAATATGACAGACCAGACACCATCACTGAAGTCCTATGTAAAAACTGAAAGGAAGGAGAGAAATTACAATACTTGTACCTGAGATGCACTTAAATACTTTGTAAGAGAACAAGGTCAAAGTACATGATCCCAAATATCAAGAAAGAGAAAGCACCCTAAAAGTTCTAAATTGCTCTGAGCAATTATTTACAGTATGACAATATCCAAATAAAAACAATGACTTTTTTCACATAAATATACCAACTATAATTTGATTTGGGTATTGGCTATACCAATATGTATACCTGTCAAAACTGTCACTGTCAACAAATATGTCAACTGTCATATTGAACTGTATACATATGATCTGTGCATTTTATTATGTGAATTAATCTTTAATTTAAAATATACTCTTATCCCCTCAACCCCTAATATGCCAGAACTTCCAAATCCAAAATAATGTTGTCTTTCAAATTATTTTCTTTGGGAAGCTATTCACATTATTTTAATGGCTTTGCTATCATTCCAAATAATCCTAAAATACTTCTTATAGCAAAGAATATTTGATTACCTACATTAACCAGGTGTATGTCTGAATGATCCATTATTCCATCTTTTTTCATATTCATTTTGATTTTTCTTGTTTGAAATTAATATGTGCTAATTGTAGAACATTTACAAGATAAGAGATGAAATGAAGAAAATGATTACCAATTTTACTACCTAAGAATAAATTTTAAATTTTAACATTGTAAATACTAACACAAAATATTCTTGTATACATGTATATTCATGTGTATGTGCACACATAGAGGTTTTCACTGTTCGATATCTCACTTTTTTCAGTTTTTCTGTCTCATTTGACATTTTCTGTAATAGACACTGGGCTGGCTCCTTGGCCTGGTAGTTAAGGCAGTTGGAACCCCTATGGCCATCTGCAAAGTTGGAGTCCCAGACCCAGCAACTTCAGAAACACACTGGGTACAAGTGTATGCATGCTCAAAATCCCCAAACAAAGGAAAAACACAGAAGAAGGAATTGACATCTCCCTGGGGGATACTTTATCCTCACCCTCTCTCCTGAGATGTCTTTCTCTGGTAAGTACACATGCTCTGTAGCATATATATATATATATACAGTGTTATGCTGAATGAATATCTCAAAATCTACTTTTCTAGTACTCTATTTGGATGCTTCCAGTATTTTACTATTAAAAATACTACTAAAAAAATCTGCACATATCTCAGACTGTTTCTGCAGAATAAGTTTTTGTCAGCAGAATCACTGTATCAATGTGTCCATAAAAATTTAAAGCTTTGATACATAATGTCAAATTACCTTCCTGTTATACTGATTTACCAATTTTTACTCTACTGAATAATGTACAACCATGAGTAATTTTAAGTTAAACTTATACTCAAAGAGAAAGTAATTTATTATCACCAATGACATTTGAGAGAATATAAAATAGTCAAATCTCCTAAAATCATCATTTCCACAGCTAATAAAATAACTGAATTCCTTGCTCCATTCTAAACTCTCATATTTAATACAGAATCTCCATAGATATATAACCTTCTAAAGATGGCATTAATATGTTGACTTGAAAGTATCTCTTTCCCCCCTTCAGTTTTTGCCACAGGGCAAAGTACTCACTGAACAGAAACAGAGAGAAACAGAGGGAAAGTGAGAAATCACCCACTAGGGGAAATGGCCACACCATAATCCCTTTACCTCCATTCTATTCTGAGGATTTGGGGCATGCACGCATATATGCCAGACTTGATTTTCAAGCCACCAGGTCCAGAACTTGAACCATAGTTGGTCATTTGGGAATCTAGCACCTTAGCCACCATACTACCTGCTTGCCCCCAAAAGTATCTTATTAAACTTCAAAAAGCAAATACTATATGGAGAGAACACAGCACTACCAAAGGATAGAGAGTGCACTTTGCTCTGCTTTAAAATTTTTGGTTTTGAGAGGTTTTCGCTATAGGGCACG